CGGAAAACCTTTAGAATAGTACTAGATATGATCGGAAAACCTTTAGAATAGTACTAGATATGATCGGAAAACCTTTAGAATAGTACTAGATATGATCGGAAAACCTTTAGAATAGTACTAGATATGATCCACAATAATTAGAATTCTATCTTACATCTCTTGTAAAAAAAATCTCAACAACATAGGTCTCAAAAAGAAATCACACATTTTTAGGCAATTTTTATCATCGTCCTGGAGACAATAAGTCTCACATACAAATCTTACCTGTCTAGGCATCCTTTATCATCTTCCTGGGGTTTAGATTCTGGGCATTCAGCAGACCTACCAGTAAGCATCAGTTAAGGGACAATAACATGATAGACTAGGTAATGTTTTCCTTATATTTATAAAAAAACAGATGTGTTGTAATATCAAGTGGCTTAAATCTGCATCATTTACCCTATGAAGACCAATAAGCACCTTCCAGGTGTTGAGTACATATCAAACTTTAAATTTTAAGTTAAAATAATAATTCTAGCTTAACAATTTTTAACACTGAAATATTTTACAAGTGAGATTTTATTTAACGTACAAAGAAGATGCTAATTCTATTCACCAACAATTCTTCCCTGTAAATAATAGTTATTAATTTTCTTTATAATTTTTATGGCCATCCCAAAGTATGGGTTTTATTGTAGTATTGGATAAGAAACAATCATACCTTGTAAATATAACTATCTATTTCTTATTTCTCATGTGATTATCTTCCTTCTCTGTTAGTAGTTTTATTACTACAGTCAACACTTAAATAAGACTGAAGAGAGCAGATTACGAGCTATTTACATCAACACAGAAGTTTAGAAAATTTAGAAACAAACCATACATATATATAGGAAATTTTTTCATAGATGCTTTTTACTTCCTGAAAAGAGTTTTATCTTGTTAAATTATATCTGTTGGAAAGCTACAGAAATTTTCTTCAATGAAAAGACATCAGATAAGCCTAATTAGGTTCAACAAGCATGGAAAAATGTCCTTACTGTTAAATTTATCATATTTAGACAGTGCAAACAAATAAAATTATTTATTGAAAAGAAACTATATTTAGGAGCTATGAATTGTTATTAACCAAGAATAGTGTTAGCCATTTTGAAATGCAAGGTCCTAGGTCACCATTATGTGGTTTTTCTTATCATTCATGGGTAGAAATGTTGACTACTGTAATCAGCAGTAAAACAAAATACATGGCCTGACTAACTAATGAATGAATATTTGCTGTAAAAATTCTTACCAATGCTATAAGTGTGGCTACCAATTTGGCCACCAATTTTGATTTCATTTAAGTCGCACACTCAGTCCTATTTTGGCTGAACCTTTTTTTCACACCTAAGGTGTTTTGGATTAGATATCAGGACTTGTTGTCAATATGCACCAACAAACCACAGCGTGTAATAAAGTTACACTCAATAGTAACCAACATTAGCTTTAGGATAGCAACCCTATTATTCAGAACAGATCTTTACTTTACAGAACCAATCAGTGTTAATAACTTCCTTTATAGTAATGCCAAGGAATTTAGATTAACAATTTCTTGTCATCAACCCCATGCATTTGGTACAGCCGTATAAAGCATCATCATTATTTATGATAATTGATAAGTTAATATCACCTGATACTTAATTCTCTTTAATTAGGATAATTTCATAAAATTTGTCTCGAAAAGTTGGCAATCAATAACCAATAATAACCATCCACCCCCCTATGATCCTTTTGAAAACTTGAGCTAGAAACTGTTAATCTAGTTTGCTTGGCCTAACCAATACTTGTGTATCTGCTCGTCCTTTTACCTTATAGTTTTGCTGCTCTAAGTCAGCTGTCTTTAATCCAAATGACAAATAACTAAAAATGGTCAACTTTTACTCTCAGGTGAAGCTGTAGGAAAAATGGTAGACTGATATTTGATGTGACTTTTTACATAGATGTGTGCAACAATTTTCATTAAATTTGAGTGGTTGTTGTTGAATAACTTTGCACACGTGGCTTATATTTACACCACATCTAATTGTAGGTTGTAAAGATCTGTCAGTGTACCAAATCTGAAAAAAATCTATAAAAGTTAAGTATGTTTTTCTATCAAATAAAGTTTCTGTACTTTTGGTGTAAAGAAAAAATAAAAAGGAAGAAACTAAACAAAATTAGCGATATCTCAGGTATTTCCTAATGGATTGTCTCCAAATTTAGTATGTGATAGTTTGGATTACAACAGTTCAAGCTACAAGAGGTGGAAAATTGCTATAATTTAAACTCCTGTTAATAACAACACAGAGTGTCCTGCAGGTTGCGCTGCTAGACACACTACCATGAGTCTGGATTAATTTTCCATGCAATTTTGATAAGTATATTCATCATTGTGAGACTGAAAAATCACTGATACTACCCCTCTGGTCTGGAAAAGTTTAAAGTAATATCTAGACATAACATCAACGTAAAGTTATAAAAAGTATATTTTTCTCATAAATATAAGTAATGCCATGTTTTCATACAATATTTGTATATATTTCTGTTAGTCCTGTAAATTAATATATAAAAAACTTCCATTAGTACTAGAACGTAAAGGATATTTACAATATGCTTCTTGTTTACATGCATTTCTCTGTGCCTGTCTACAGATGTCCCCTGTAATAATCAAACGGCATCCCCGACAGCATGGAGAATTCTTATCACTGGAAAAAAAAAACTAATAAGCTGAAACTTCTACAGTATCCACTAACAGATAACTCAACCGTTTAATCAACTTCTACACTATCCACGAACAGATAACTCAACCGTTTAATCAACTTTTACACTATCCACTAACAGATAACTCAACCGTTTAATCAACTTCCACACTATCCACGAACAGATAACTCAACCGTTTAATCAACTTCCACACTATCCACAAACAGATAACTCAACCGTTTAATCAACTTCCACACTATCCACAAACAGATAACTCAACAGTTTAATCAATTTCCACACTATCCACGAATAGATAACTCAACCGTTTAATCAACTTCCACACTATCCACGAACAGATAACTCAACCATTTAATCAACTTCCACACTATCCACGAACAGATAACTCAACCGTTTAATCAACTTCTACAGTATCCACGAACAGATAACTCATTCGTTTAATCAACTTCTACACTATCCACGAACAGATAACTCATTCGTTTAATCAACTTCTACACTATCCACGAACAGATAAATCAACCGTTTAATCAGCTTCTACACTATCCACGAACAGATAACTCAACCATTTAATCAACTTCCACACTATCCACGAACAGATAACTCAACCGTTTAATCAACTTCTACACTATCCATGAACAAATTTTTCAACTATTTAAGTACTAAACTTTTAACCTACTGAAACTTTATAAAATATTTTTTTATTAAAATCCAGAATAATTCTATTTTATCTAAGATGACGAAAGCTACACTTGTATCATGATACACTAACCCAGGTCAATATCAAAACTATCATATCATATTGCAATGATCTTTTAAGCAACAACATACAGAAAGTATTATTAATAAAATAAAAATAGCTTATGTATTATGATAATTTCTGAATAATATCACAAAATATGATACAAAAGTTTTCAACTAAAAAAATTTAATGATTAAATTTAGCATAATACGATTTTTAATATAAAAAAAACAATACTGTTACAACAGCAGAGGTCACGCAATGCTGGGAGCATGTGCACTGAAGTTTCTAGAAGGATCGTGATTTAGTGGCCAACCTCACAAATGTCCCAGCGTTTGCTAGATGCCCTCTTTTTTAGTATATAAACCAGAGAAAGATTGAAGAGAAAGAATCGAGTCAAGCGAGCAGTAGGCACCGTAAGTAAAGTGTGTGAATGATAGCGTGTGTTTATAAAAGTAGTTAACTTTAAAGTAACTGTGGAAATTAGGTGTATTACAAAGTTTGTAACAAGAAAGAATAAACTAGTTTTAATTAAGAAAGAACTCGTATCGCTGAAGTTTCTCAGAAAACAAGCAGATACGTAACAGTATTACACAGACCTGCATATAGCACTGATACTAGGATTAATAACAAAACACTACTACACAAACCAGTACACATCACCATTCCTAAGATTAATAAAAAACAATACTACACAGACCTGCACACTGCACCGTTTCTAAGTTTAATAAAAAAAACAGTTACTAAGATTAATAAAAAAAACACTACTTCACAGACCTGCACACAGCACTGTTTCTAAGTTTAATAAAAAAACCACTACTACACAGACCTGCACACAGCACCATTCCTAAGTTTAATAAAAAAAAACAATAATACACAGACCTGCACACAGCACTGTTCCTAAGATTAATAAAAAAAAAACAATACAACACAGACCTGCACACAGCACCGTTCCTAAGCTTGCAGTCGGTATCACAACAAGGGTCATTATCTTCACTGCCAATCAGCCCTGCGTCACACTGCTCATTTTCTTCGACCAGCGAGTTACCACAGAACGACGCTTCTGGCTCTGAATGAAAAATTAAATGTGCTATATGATGTAGCAGGAAAAGTTAGTTTGGTATTCGTTAATTCATACAACATAGTTTACACACTGAAGCAAACAAGGGAGAAAAAACGAAATGTTTTGTGCATACCAGAGAAACACTTTTGAGCTTTGGCTTCAAGAACAGCAAAGATGGACCTTCTGCTACAGGGAGAAAACATCTAAAAGAAATAGAGAAAAACGAGTGTGACAAACTATGACAATATAAAACTATGAGATTCTAGTTATAATAAACATATGCTTGGTACTAACAATAAACACGGTTATCATTTTCATCAGTGGATAATTTTTTCTCATTCCATCAGTGGGTTTGATGCTAAGAACATGTTATTTTACATGGCAAGAAATATAGTGGTAGATACAAGTAACCTGTGACGATTGTAAAACGCTCCGTCAGCAGTAAGTTTATGGACTTAAAATTCTAAATTTGGAGTTTGATTCCCCTCAGTGAATGAAACAAATAATTAATTGCACAGCTTTGAGATAAAAAAACAGCTGCATTCGTGAAAACAAAAAACAAAGTTTGTTGAATTTCAGAATCTTTTAAAAACTATCTTACAGCATGTAAAAGTACAGAAATTTCTGTTACTTCAAACTATTAACATTTGGAAAATATGATACTGTTGTAGAAATCAAATTGTCAGAGAAAGAAACTAAACAAGCAGAATCTGATGGACTTAGATATAAATCATGAGTGTGTGTTAACTACACCTAACTTACTGACTGTCTCAAAATTCATGGACCTACAATGTGTGACACATCAATGGAAAACTGTACACAATAGATCTTAATTTTACTACATCTGGAAATTCCTCTACATGAGCTCAATAAATCATCAAAAAGACAACAACAGTAATTAAACCCACTACTACTATACTATGTTTAAGAATAACAACAACAATAAAACCCACTACTACTATACTATGTTTAAGAATGACAACAACAGTAATTAAACCACCTACTACTATACTATGTTTAAGAATGACAACAACAGTAATTAAACCCACTACTACTATACTATGTTTAAGAATGACAACAACAATAAAACCCACTACTACTATACTATGTTTAAGAATGACAACAACAGTAATTAAGCCACCTACTACTATACTATGTTTAAGAATGACAACAACAGTAATTAAACCCACTAGTACTATACTATGTTTAAGAATGACAGCAACAGTAATTAAACCCACTAGTACTATACTATGTTTAAGAATGACAGCAACAGTAATTAAACCCACTACTACTATACTATGTTTAAGAATGACAACAATAGTAATTAAACCACCTACTGGTTAAGACTGATGTGTTTAAAAGTAGCTCTAACGTTACTGTGATACTTCTTAACTATCCTTGAAATGATCAGGTTCTGCTGGTTAAGACTGATGTGTTTAAAAGTAACTCTAGCTTTACTGTGATACTTCTTAACTATCCTTGAAATGATCAGGTTCTGCAATAATCTGGGTTATAATCCACAACAGATTACCTTGTTGTTTCGGTCATAACCACTAACAGAATATGTGTACATTAGAAAAGATCCACCGTGCCGAGAGTTGGGGGAACATTCTGGAATGTCAGGATCATGCTCACTTCCCCAGTTGTGGCCTGTTTGTGTTAATAAGTACACATCATAAGACATTCTGTTAGTTCCTGTATATTAGGTATTATAATTCAAAATATATATATATATTATTTCATAAGAAAAGTATATAAATTTTGACAGCAAAATGAATGAAGAGTCAAGTTAAAACAGTGTTTACTGAAGAGTCAAGTTAAAACAGTGTTTACTGATATAAAATTATTTGCAGCTCTAAAAATATGTGAAATACAGAATTAAATCATTTATAATGATATAATGACCAGGTTAAAAAAAGATTCTTAGCAAACTTTACAAGGAGAATGACTAAATTTGTGGTGGAACCTACAGATCTGTACATAGACCTACGTGAAAATCAGCAAAAATTGAAAGTATTTTGTTTGCTATCAAATGAGTAATCTGTTTTATTTCATTAATTTCTATGATATAATTTGTCTCAAGTTTGTTTTGACAGAAGAAAATATTTTCTTTCATCATCAGATTCTGTTCCATCACTGAGAAAACATGAGACAAACAAATAAAAGGATGACATTTTACTTACCAAATTCTTTTCCATCGATGTAGGAAAACATGTAAAGAAATGAAATCAAAAACACGTTAGAAACATGATTCTAGCAAAAGCAATTTTGTCAGCTCACTTCCATAAAGCCTTGATAAAAGACAATCATTTCTGTGAACAGGTGAATGTTGTTACATTATTAATTAAAATTAACGTAAGATTCAAATTCAGTGTGATATCGCAGATGGAACTTTATATCGAGATATTTAATGAAATGACATAAATACCTAGTGTTTAAAAGATAAAGCATACCAAGTAAATGAATGGAATTAACAAAATTTGTGGCTCTTCAAATAATATATGCTAACAAGAGACGTATTTATTTATAGTTAACACAATACAAATCTATGTGAGTATTAAAGGCTAGAAGAAAAATCTCAAACAGATTAATTTAATGTGTAAAACAAAAATCAACAGCATTCTATATATTATGTCAGTTTTAAATAAATTAGAATACAAAGCCAATGGCACGGATTACAGACAAAATTGTGGCAAAGCC